TTTACTTAGATACAATTGTGGCAGGGCCCAGCGGCGTGGCCTAGTGGCTAAAGTCCTCACCTTGAACGCACCAGCATCACATATGGGCGCCGGTTCTAATCCCGGCAGCTTCACTTCCCATCCAGCTCCCTGCTTGTGGTCTGGGAAAGCAGTCGAGGACCGCACAAAGCCTTGGGACCCTGCACCCATGTGGGAGACCTGGAAGAAGTTCCTGGATCCTGGCTTTGGATCGGCATAGCATCGGCTGTTGTGCTCACTTAGGGAGAGAATCATCGGACAGAAGATCTTCCTCTCTGTCTCTCCTCCTCTCTGTATATCTGACTTTCCAATAAACAAATAAATCTTTTAAAAATATTATGGCAACCTCGCTCTATCCTATTACTACTGTTATTTTGTATTTATGAATAAAAAGCACAAAGAGGTTAAGAAATTTGCCCTCATGCTAGATACACATTCAAGTGTTAGGATTGAGACTCACGTCAGGATCCCGTGGCTCCGGAATGCCACATCTGTATATTATCTGCTGTTTGGCAAGCTGGTCAATCCAGGGGCTTTACTCGTTGTCTCAGCCGCCTCACTGCATTTGCCATTACATACTTGCTCCCTAAATTCTACAGAAAGTCCTTGCCTTCTAGTCCTTCTAAGAGTGTTTCACTTCTTTTAAGTTTTTCTTTTGGCCCACCTCCTAGGCCATCCATGAGGATTCTCTCCTTTTCCTTTATTGATTTCAAAACTCCAAGTCACACATCTGTTATAGCACTAACAGACTGTATCACTAACTAACTCAAGTTTTATACGGAACATCTGGCTATTTCCAAGTGATCTAAATTTCCTGCTGGGGTCTCGAATGTAGTTTGTAAGACAAAAAAAAAAAAAGATGCATGCTGTTCACATTACTGAATTCAGTCTGGGTTGGAAATTATAACTTAAACTAGAGGTTATAAAGAACAACCAACAGATAACCAAAGGTCATCGACACAGGTGTTTTGGGGTTGACTAAACATTTGATTAGCTGTTATGGCCAGCGAGTTGAGAGATAATATTGGTAAATATTTAGACATCAATGACCGAGCAGTTAAAATAGGTCTTTATTTTTGTAGCCCATAACCATGAAGTTCAGTTTTGGTTCTTTTTTTTTTTTTTTTAAACTGCAAAGGATCCTCCTTGAAATACTATTTACTGGTAACTTGGAGATACGACTATCAAGATACGTATTGAAAACAGCTTGTTTATTTACTTTGGCTTTGGACATTGACTGGAGAGGCGACTGTTAGTTCAGCAGGCTCTGTAGGATTGTGGCGCTCAGACTGGATCATGCATTAGAGTAACCTGGGCTGTCAGTGGGACAAACCCTGACCATACACTGGAGTGCCACACAGAGCTGGCAGCCACAAAAGCATTCCAGGTGATTCCAGTGTTGAGAACTGGTGCTCACGGCATGCTTGTTTTAAATTGCTGAATTTAACTATGGCCTATTTAGTTACATGATAATGTTTATTTTTCTATTGTAACTATATATATTTTTATTAAAAACGAATTCATTGTTTACCCAGGATTTATCTTTAACTGGGCATCCCGTACTTTCATTTTCCAAACCTGTCAACCCTAACATTTTTCTCTTTAGTGTGGGTTTCCTGGGATGTAAGAAGGTACATTCCATTCCATGGTGAGCATGAAGGTACCCAAATCAAAATGGTCACTTTGGTCAAACCCTAATAAATAAAAACAGGAGGGCTCTCGTCAGCATATCCGGTCATAACAACGAGAAAGACATTGCTCTATCGTTATAGTCTTATTTTTCTATTTTATTCATTTACTATTGGAAAGACAGATTTACAGAGAGAAAGAGACAGAGAAAAAGATCTTCCATCTGCTGGTATGCTCCCTATGTGGCTGCAACGGCCAGAGCTGAGCCGATCCGAAGCCAGGAGCCAGGAGCCTTTTCCAGGTCTCCCCCACATGGGTGCAGGGTCCCAAGGCTTTGGGGCATCCTCTACTGCTTTCCCAGGCCTCAAGCAGGGAGCGGGATGGGAAGTGGAGCAGCCACAGCATATGAGATCCTGGTGCATGGAAGGCTAGGAGTTAGCTACTAGGCCTTTGCACCAGGCCCTACAACTATAGTCTTACCTAAAGGTCACCAGGACCTTATTTAGAAGATATTCCTGCAAGGATATCTGTCCAACAGTTGGCTGTACAATCTTGGAATAGCCCCACTCTTTTAATCAAATAACTTATACACTCCTTATTTTGCCTTTAAAAATTTCCCCTGGGGCCCGGCACAATAGCCTAGCAGTTAAAGTCCTTGCCTTGTAAGCACCAGGGTCCCATATGAGAGCCGGTTCTAACCCCAGCAGCCCCACTTCCCATCCAGCTCCCTGCTTGTGGCCTGGGAAAGCAGTGGAGGACTGCACAAAGCATTGGGTCCTTGCACCCGCGTGGGAGACCCAGAAGAAGCTCCTGGCTTCTGGCTTCGGATCGGTTCAGCTCTGGCTGTTGCAGCCACTTGAGGAGTGAACCATCAAACAGAAGATCTTCCTCTCTGTCTTTCCTCCTTTCTGTATATCTGACTTTTCAATAAAAATAAATAAATCTTTAAAAAAATTTTCCCCTGGCTTCAACCTCCACATTTATCATGCATATTGCATACTGTAGTTTTCTGTAAACACAATGACTAGTTTTAGGAAAATCTGTCTGTTATTTAGGTCTTGAATATCATAAAGCATCAAGTGTCTTCTTTCGAACCGTTTACCGTAAGCCTTCTACCAGCAACACCCATCATTCCACCCAGGCGGCCGTATTTTCCCATCAGAACTTCCAACATGCTCCCTTCTGTTTTCCACTCAGTCCCCGCCAGCAATGGCAGGTCCCTTCCAGGCTGCAAACCGTTCTGACATCTGCTCTCTGCTTTGGATTCCAGCTGGACAAAGCTTACTGCTTCTCAAAGGCTCCTGTGATTATACGCTTGGTTGACCTGGGCAACCCAAGGTAAGCTCCTATTCTAATGATGAAGATGTGGACATTCGGTGGGGGCAGGGGGATACTCTGTACTATCAGTAACCTCAGATGTAAATTCTCTCTCTCTTGACTAGACCCTCTGCCTCACTGTTTCGTTACGGCAGAATGTATTTCCCAAAGGCTTCCTGAAGATGCTTCAAAAGAAACTCTAAAACATTGCATATCTGAAGCATCATCTTAAAAAAAAAAAAAAAAACAACTCTCATAGTTTATTGGCTTCAAGACCAGAAATCGTCCATGGTTCATTTATTTATTTATTTTGTATAGATGCTTCTGTTGAAACTTCAACGTCTGATTTCCTAATCTTCATAAATATCCTTTTTTTTTTCTTTCTGGAAGTGATTTAGATTTCTCTGACTTGTCTGAAACTTCAGTCTGAATCATTTTCACGAGCTAACAGCATACTGAAGTTGCTCTTCAGTTAAAACATCATGTTCTTCAACCTGCTCATCTTCCTTGACAAGTTTCTTCCTGATGTCTGATATGAATTTTCCCTTACTTAAGTTCCCTGGCCACACATCCAGAATCATGGGGAATAAAAGCCGCAAAAATTGGCATCCTTGTCCTGATCATAGCTGAAAGTATTCTTCATTAAAAAAAAAAAAAAACATTTGTTTATTTTCATTGGAAAGTCAGATATACAGCGAGGAGGGGAGACAGAGAGGAAGAGCTTCGGTCCGCTGGTTCATTCCCCAAGTGGCTGCAACAACCAGAGCTGAACCAAACCGAAGCCAGGAGCCTGGAGCCTCTTCCAGGTTTCCCACTCGAGTCCCAGTGCTTTGTGTGGTCCTCTTGACTGCTTTCCTAGGCCACAGGGAGGGGGCTGGATGGGAAATGGGGCTGCCTGGAAAAGAACCAGCATCTACATGGGATCCTGGTGTGTGCAAGGGGAGGACTTAGGCCTCTGCAGGCTACCACAACAGCCCCAGTATTCTTCATTCTTTCAAGACAAAGTATAATATTAGCCATGAGAGGCCCTAACTTAGTTGGAGGAAATTCCCTTCTTTTCCTAGTTCAAGTGGGATTTTGTTTCTAATCAAAAAGCTGTTGGTTTTGCAAAATGCTTTTCTTTCATCTACGAAGACATTCAGGAATTTTGTTTTTCATTCTGTTAAAATGTTACATTACATTGACTAATTCGGTTACACCAACCTTGCATTCCAGGTATAAAATGTCACACAGTTCTTTTGCACAATCTTTTTTTTTTTTTTTCTGCATTACTGAATTAGGCTTCCTAGTATTGTGTTGAGGACTTTTTTTTTTTAAGGTTTACTTATTGGAAGGGAAAAATTGCAGACGGTGGAGGCGCGCACCAGAAATTTCTTCATATTCTGTTTCTTTCCGGTCCCCCACCCAATGGCTGCAACATATAATAAGCCTGGTCCAGGCCAAACCGGGCGTCTAGAACTCCTTACTGATCCCCTAGGCGATGGGCAGGGGGCCGGGCACCTAGGCCACCCTCTGCTGCTTTCCCAGGGAGCAGCCAGGACCCCAACTGGAGCGCACGTGGGATGTCCCACTGAAGTGCTTTAACATCCTGTGCCAGGATGCGCCCCACCCCCCCGCTTGTGAAGATATGTTTTTTTGCCTTAATATTCATAACGCATGTTCTCTAAGTTGTGAGGTCTTTGATTTTGTTGCCTTACCATTACTTCCGTTTTAAAGGTGGGGAAACCATTGCACACCTCAGCAGTTTTGAGACACGACGCCCAACAAGCCCCTCAGGCGAACGACAATTTCTCTGTCTAGCCCAGAAGGTTACCTGCAACCTTTCAAGGTCTCCCATTAGACTCCTTCGCCTTCCTCAAGCCGAGTAATAAAATTTGTTTTCATTTCCCACAACTTATTTACAGTCTTTTGATCATCTATTTTCATTGCTCTGAATCCAGAGCTCAGGAGGCGCTGCCAAGTCACCACTTATTCCGAGGGCGTCTCCACTTCCCAATAAGCACTTTTAATTCACCACCAGTCACCAATTTATTTACCTGCTCGTGGCCATTTGTCAGGAGTCAGACATCTTCAGGGGTGAGTCGCGGCTGTGCCTTGTGCGACGAGGACAGTGAGTGACCGAGCAAGGGGTGGGGGATTCAGCCCGGGTCTTGGGGCGGCCACAGCAAGAGTCTTAAGGCACGGGGATGGGTGGTTGGGACACCTGGTGGTATTCCAGCAGGACTAGACCCAGCAGGTGGCATGGGAACCAGAAGTCCAAGAGGCTGGGCCGAGGGCCAAGGAGACGGCAACAACTGTTGGTTGCTCTGCTCAGGGTGTGAGGAGAGGGAAAAAAACAAAGTTTGCCAGGGTTCCGCCCGGCCGCGCGCAGCAGCTGGCGCCGGGTCAGGGCCGGGCACCGCCCACGCGCGCCCGGGGTGGGAGCCGGCTGAGGTGGAGGGAGCGCGGCCGGCGACGGCGGCGACCCACCGTGGGCGTCCCAGGCTGCGGGGCCGCTGGCGCTGCTCGAGCGCTTTCCGCGGGGTTTGGCTCCTGTCGCTTCCCGTCTCGCCGAACCGGCATCGCAGCCGCTGCCGCCGCCGCTGCTGCTGCTGCTTCTGCTGCTGCTGCCGCCGCCGGAGCCTCGGCGCGTTCCCGGAGCCAGGCTACCGGCGGCCGGGCGCGCCGGGGAGGGGACGCGGACGCAGGTAAGGGCGGTCGCCGGCGGCGAGCTCCTGGAGGAGCGGGTTGCATAGGGTGGCCCGGCCTCGGCGGTGGCGGCGGCAGCAACAGCGGCCCTGCCGGCTCGCCATGGACCCCAGGGCCCGGAGCAGGAGAAGGAGGAGGAGGACGCGCTGCCCGGCTGTGGGGATGGGGCCGGCCCGGCTGGCTGCAGCTCGCCCGGGGCCTCAGGTGACGCCGCGGCTGGCGGCTTAACTTTCGCGCCCGGGGCGCTCGGGGGCGCTCGGGGCGCTCCGGGGCCCCGAGGCTGGAATTACCGGGGCTCCGGTGGCCAAGCCCCGGGGGCGTGACGGGGGAGGCCCGGCCAGCCGGGGCTGGGAAGGAGTGGGGTCTGCAATGGCTCTCTGCCTGGAGTGGGGTCCAGGGCGAGGAGGAACTGCAAGCTGCTTCCTCTCCAGGGCTTGTGCACCCTTGCGTGGCCGGGTTCGCCCGCACGGATCCACTTTCATTGTCTGGTCCGTTTCAGTATCGGCTTTTGTTGCAGCCCCGGGTCCGGGGAGTGCAGACTCTGTGCCAGGCATGGGGTTTGTCTTAAGTAAGCTGGGGGAAGGAAGCCGGACGGCCAGGGTCCTGGGGAGACAGCTGAGTGCTGTCATTGGCGCTAACGTGTGCTTTGCCTGGGAGCACTCGGTATTTTTTTTGTAGCCTCTAATAGGTTTAAGTGCACCCGTGGAAGCGTTCATTAGCTAACTTCAAAGGAGTATTATGTGGGCAGGTTACTAGTAAATTACGCATTTTATAGACCAGACAGCTGAGACACCCACGAAGAAAACACTGGAAAATACTGATTATATCAAAAGTAGACAGGCAGTCCTGGTACAAGTTGCGATTAGAACTTGTCGGAGGTGTGCCCTGTCTAGTCCGTCCCCAAGCGTCCCAGGATAGGAGACGTTGGGTTTGATACCTTTCCTATTTTTTATTCACCTGCTTTTACAATGGTATTGCTGGATCCTTTCAGATCCCTGGTTGAGTTCGCCCCTACGCCCCCCACACAAGGTCAGAATCATCTGAGTTGTCAAATACAGTCATTAGCCTTCTGGTAAAGGGGTGCCATTCTTTGATGCTTTGATTTCCAGAAGAAATCTAGTACCCTCGACGGCCCAAAGATTCCTGTCGATCCCAACCACGAATCTAGATACTGACTTCATAAGTGAAGGAGGTGCAAGAGGCACAGACCGCTCGCCATCCCTGAATGTGGAGCGGCGTTTGCTTTTCTTAGACTTGAACTTCGACATCAATGATTTCGGTTATTTCCATGAAAACTAACTTTGACCAGATATTCAGTTGGGCTGTCCTGTCTCCCTAGAACCGGCTGTGGTTGGCCATTTCCCAATGTTTGCCGGTAGATCTTTTATTACTCCATATATCTTCCTCTTTTTTTATTTTTATGTTTCTAGGTATGAAATGGATGAGTTTTTATCCTTCCAAAATTCATAGTGGTGTGTTTTTGTCTAATGAAACAAGCTTGCTTTTTTGGCAGAAAAGTTAAGTAGGACTTTCATGAGAGCATCCGAGGACAGACGGAAGGAACTCTTGTACATCAAGAAGGAATTCTTCCAGACATATAAAGAATTAGTAATTACTTTTAATAGACCACTGTAAATATTTTATGACGTATCTACCTGAATCATGAGACTTTCTGCTTATGCCATGTCTTTGGCAGAAGGAAACCAAAAAATTCTACTTGAACTTGTAGCGCAAGTTTCAGGAGACAGTGTTTCTAGTTTTAATCTCGTTTTCATCCTTGCCTCCACGAAATGGATACACTTTTCAAGTAGATGCACTTTTCTTTGTGCGGGTAGGAGCTCCACTGGGCCGTGTGCAGGAGGAGTGGTTTATCTGTCCTTTCTTTCATGGCAATCTTTGCAGTCTCAGTGAAGTCACGTTTGGGAAGTAGTCGGCTTTATGGAAAAGAGCTGCCTTGTGTCTTTGAGGTTCGTCTAGTCTAGTCGTAGACTCGAAATGCTAAACAGGGTGGGAGTCGAAATGCTAAATCACCTTGAGAGTCTGAAAACTTTAATCCAGGACAGGATTGCTGCTATTCGTAATTTTAAGTTTTTGAAATGTTTGCTTACTTACCAGCATTATAAAAATTGTTTCACTGTCACTTTTACGAATATTTCTTGTTTTTTTTTTTCAATTAAACTGTATAACTTAGTGTGTGCACCCATTTTGTTTAATAAACTGGGCAGAATGACGTCGGCATGGCTCTCAGTTTTACCTTTAAGATTTGAAACCAGGATAGTTAATGCGTGGTCCTGATGACCTTCAAGGCAATTCTGGAAGGAGAGTTTAAAAGTAGCTTAAAGTAATAATTGTAAGAATGCATGTACTGCATTGCCAGCAGAGGATTCTGAAGGGGGCCAAGTTTACCTGGAGGCTGAGGTTACATAATTTATGTTACTAAACATAAAACTAATAACATTGGAATCTATGAGTTACTGCTTTACATCATAGTTATTTTTTCTGGGAGTCAGATTTTTCACAGATACGTTCAGGAGAATGTACTAAGTAGGCCACATATCCTGTAGGAAGCATATTAGGCCAGGAGTAGATTTTCATAGATGTCTGAATATCACATACGTGCAAATGTAAACCTGTAATAATACAGAACCCTAAAATTTGGCACCACATTATATGTTTGGAGTTTAATCAGCCTGGAAGAACAGCCTTGCCAAAATATAAAATTGTTCATTAAAAAACAAAATTAGCAAGTTTATGTATGACCACCCCACTGTCCACAGACACAGCTGAGAAGTTGAAAGCTCCGGTTGATGCCATTAGGCAGCTTCTCATTCTATGAAACAGAATTACTGTTCAGCTGGGAATGGTAAAGAAGTTTAAGGTGGAAACAGTTTTTAAAAAGGGCATTGGGTTACTTTAGGCTTATTTTTTAAGACATAAAGTCAAAGGGGATTTCCAGTTGCAGGTGGTTGGTGCCTGGGAATATCGTGGTCTCAGAAAGAAGTGGACTTTTGTGGTTTGACTTGATTCGTTCAAGTTTCGTTTTGATTATGTGTTACTTAACATGAGCGAATTCATTTTGTTTGATTTGTTGGGGACAGAAGCTCACTCCAAAATAATGTCCTGTTAAGTTCTATGTAATAGCACCGTCTAAGGACATTGTTTTCATTCTGTCTGGGTTGTTCATAGCTGATTTGTACATGTAACCTGTCGTCCTAGATCATTTGTGCTGCTACAACAATACCTAAGTCAGGGTGATTCGGAGAAAGCAGAAGTTTCCTCCCAAAACATTTTCTATTATTTTCTTTGAGAGCGTGAGAAAATGCTCCCACGGGTCAGCTTTCTCTCCCAAGTGCCCATGAGGCCAAGGCAACAAGGAGCCAACGGGCCACTGTGGGTTCGCTCTTAGAGGAGTGTGGGAGTAAGGACCAAGGATCAGTTGAGCTGGGCCTTGAGCCCACCAGAAACGTGGTTGTGGCATGCAGGTGAACGTCAGGTAAAAACTTCCTGCAGAAGTTGATTTCAACTGACAACTCTGACATCAGGGTGCCAGCTGATTTGGTGTCTGGTGAGGGCCTTGGTCTCTGTCGCTAAGATAAGCCTTGTGTCTTCCTGTGACAGGTGGCATAAGGGCAAAAAAGGTCCTAAGCTCGTTCCCCCCAGCCTTTCTATAAGGCGCTGATCTAATCATGCAGGTGACCTCCCCCCCCACCTCAGTCACCTCCACAAAGGTCCCCCTTGGTAATAACAACACAACGACAACGAAATTTCTGCGTGAATTTTGCAAAGGCCGCGTTCCGATCAAGCACGCGCGTAAGACCCATAAAACTTAAAAAAAAAATAAAAGAAAAAGTAGCAGCAGGTGAAAACGTACTGATTAACCTGGTATCTCAAAATCACTCTGAAGAATAAGTTTTGTGTGACCCCATTTCTGGGCCAATAGGAGCGGGTAGTTTTCTGTGCGGTCCCCAGATGAGAACAGAGCCATGGATAATCCTGCAGCTGGTCAGTGCACAGCTGGGACACTTGCAAGTAGAAGTCCCATTCTTATCAGTGAAATCTTTTAATTGAGAGTAAATGGAAACTTTGACAGAAGTCACCCGTTTTGAAAAATCAGCCTGTTGAAGTGACAGGTAAATTATTGACATCAAACGGAAATGTCCCCTTGGAACGGCCCTTGCTAAAATGAGCAGATGTCTCGGTGAACGACGTTGGTCATTGGAGATGTCAGGAGGCTCAAGGAACGGCTGAAGCTATAACTTTTTTTTTTTTCTTAATCTGGAAATTGGATATTTCCTTTATAAAGTCTCGTCAAGAACTTTTCCTTATCAGAGTCGCCTCATAAAATTGCCTCCGTTAAAATATTTTGGCCCCAGTATTCAATAAAGTGTCCAAAGCTAGCTTCATGGCAGTGAATAGGAAGATTCTTGAGGCAACAAATGTAAAACAGCTAACAAGGGAATATTTGAGAGTCTCAAACATTTTTACAAAATGAGTTGAATGCCAGAAATGTACAAAAGCTGCCACAGGAAATTGGAGATGTTGCTTCCTTTTTTTTTTTTTTTGAATCTGTGGAACATGTCTCTGTAGTAGGAAGAAATATTAGAGAATATTGCAAGGAAGATAGAATCCCCTTCATATTTTATAATGTCTTTACCAGGCAAGTTCGCTGAAATGTTTGAGAGCTAGAAAACCTGAAAAACAACCAAGAGATCCTTGACACACATGTTGAAAGCAGCTCCCAAATGCCCTTCATGACACTGCTGGGACAAGTACGAGGCTTGCTCTGGGTTGGAAAATCGCCTGGCCTGTGCAGAAACTCGCTGAGAACATGGGTCCCAGGGCGCTAAGATGGACGCATGGCTGTCGGTGTAGGGTAGCCTGCGATGAGCAGTGTGGACAGTGTGGATGTGAGGGGTCGGTGTAGTGAGCGCCCTGGACACTCTTTGCTCAATGCTTATCTGTTACACATGGAAATTGTAACTAAGGTGTATCTTTCTGG